CTAAGGTGGCTGCAGCTTCCTGGAATGTGGTTGGAAGACTCAGTATCCATAAGGGGCATGAAGAGATGAACCTCTGTGACCAACACAAGATGCTGATCCTTCTTCCCATCCCTCAGGAGCCGCTGACCGACAATGCACATGGCCTCTCTGAAGGCATCTCTTATCCAATGAGCAGCCAGAGCTATCCAGTAGCTACTTCTGTTTCCCCCTAACTTACTTCTCTGGGATTGTTACACCCCTAATTACAATGAAGAGTTGGCACATGATGGTTTCTGTTCTCCAGGAAGCTTGGGCTGACACACCTGAGATCAACCGTTCCATATGAAAGTGAAGCTGGATCTGCACCCCACATTCACACAAGTCTTCAGCCTTGGCCCTGTCAGATTCAGCAGTGGCATGTCAGCCCACATTTGTCATGTATGTAGCTTCTGTGGCAAGATTAAAGATGTCCAATTTCCTTGATGAAAAGGATTATTGGTTGAACATTTTACATTCATAATTCCAAGCTCAATTTTTAGGCATTTAAGGGTTCTTTTTAATAAAGTCACTCAAAGTTCAAATTACGTAGTTACTGAGGGCAGTACATCTCTTACTGAATCCATGTTCTCAGACAGAGCTCCTCAAAATTAGATCTTTGAAGGGGACCAGCAGAAATTATTTCATCACTGGGGTAGTACTACCTATTATCAACCCATAAGACATTTTGGTGTAAATCAATTCCGCTGTCCTTTGTATCATGTATTTGGAATCATGAGTTGGGTACTGGTCTGAGTACTTCAGCAGGAATGATGTTACTGTAACTACATCTGAGGCCCATCCGGAAGAGAACATACTAAGCTCCCTAAACTCTTGCAACAGAATGCCAGCTCGGTCATAGACATATTTAATCTTTAAGACTGAAGAAACTGTCCTGAATCCAAGGCACAGAAAAGTAGGCTCTCAGATGCCTGAGAAAAGAACTCAGAAATAAATAGGAAAGGAGTTGCAAATTACTCAGCATTTAAGAAAGACAGCCTAGAAGAAAGACCAATGCTCTCACCACTCCATGGTCACTAACTTGGATGTTTTAAGTGAGTTATAAGACTCTATTTTAGTACCTTAACATCCCACAGTAATGAGAGCAGTGAACTACTGTCTTAATGTCAAACCTTCCAAGGCTTGGTGAGGCTCACAGAAGAACAAGTCATCTGAATTACATTTCTGTGTAGCCATGAACCATAGTTTAATGTGGACCATCGTTGTTCCAAAGATCTTGATTTTCTTGGTCAAAAGACACTTACTATGTTTAGAAATATGTCTTTATTGGGTGTGAACTATTATTGCCTATTTACTACTTCTTATTAATTTTTGCTTTGGGTCAAGAGACACTTACTATGTTTAGAAATATGTCTTTATTGGGTGTGAACTATTATTACCTATTTACTACTTATTAATTTTTGCTTTGGCTTATGAAAATTTCAAAAGTTAAATAATATATTAACTACAACTATTAATTTTTGCTTTGGCTTATGAAAATTTTGAAAGTTAAATAATGTATTAACTACAATAACTGAATTTTGGGGTACCTGATAAAACAATTTTTTGCTTTTGGTTAATGTTCACTTTATAAGATTTAATCGTCCTTTTTAGGGTTTTAAGATTGAAGTACCCACAAATCTAAAAAGTAACAGTTAAGTATGCTATTAAGTTATTGAATAAGGACTGCAAGGCAAACAGATTTATATTCTATTATAGAGGAAACAGGGAATTACATAATCAAATTAAACCAGATAAGTTTCAACAGGATCACATCAGTAAAACACACAGATGACAGAAGTAGAGATTAGGGGCTGGAGAGATGTCTCAGCGATTAACAGCACTGGTTGCTCTTGCAGGACCCAGGTTCAATTCCCAACAGCCACATGGCAGCTAACAGGTGTCCGTAGCTCCAGTTCCAGGGGAATCTAACACCCTCTTCTGGTCTCCACGGGTATTGCACAACACGGGTGCTCTTATACACATGTAGGCAATACACCCATACACTTAAAAAAAAAATATATATATATGGACTTAAGCCTAATGTCTGGAAAGTGTAATCCCTTGAACTCTTAAAGAAGTTATTTAGACAATTATTTCTCATTGATGATTTTGTTCCGAATCAGAAAGTGCAGCTCAGATGTAAAACTTCAAATCTTGATCTGCAATACTGTAGTGCCCACCTGTAGCTAAGGGAGACAAACTGCTATTGTTCTAAAATGATGGATAAATTTGTTTTCTCCCCCTATCTAGAAGCCTTTGAGTGGGAACTGACAGTGATTCTAGCTACTCCATCAGCTATCAAAATACCTGAAAGCAAATCCTGAACTCATCACTCTCGAGTCCAGCCTTGGAAGACAAAAGAAAAATGAGGAGGAACCCAATAGAGGGATGATTTTGGAAGCTCTTGTCAAGACATTCCAATGGCCTCTCATACGAACATTTGAAAATTGCTCTGTTCTAACTTTTTTCTAGTTCCCTGTCTAGAACTTGTAATGCTAATTACTCTTGCCTTTACGTCTCCTTAACATCTCCTATTCACCAGTCAAGGACTTTCTTTTCCCCTTAGAGATAAGAGTTATACAATTTGGGAGTCTTTTAGATAGACCCACTGAAGGGGTGCTCCAGTTGCCTCACCCTGCATCACTGTTCAGCATGGAAGAAGCCAGAGGAGTCTGTGTCCAGATTCCCTATTGGCAATCTGGGTAACCACTTCAGAGGATGGTATGATAAGAATAGGAAGTAAGAATTGACTAGGCAGTTAGGATAAAAAGACCCCAAAGAAAAGTAGCCAGTTTCTTGGCTGAAGGTCAAAATGCCCTTGGGCCTGTTAGCAACATACTCTGTTCCAAAGGCCCAAACTGTCAAAAGTATTTGGGAGCTTGTATCTAATCTTTAAAAGGTTTTAGGGTTACCTCTTGCGGGGGAGGGGGGAATGTTAGAGTAGCAATAAGCCCCATAAAAATAAAAAAAAAGAAGAAAGAGTACATGAAGTTATCAGAAAAAAGTGATGGGGAGATGTGGGAGGAGTTGGAGGGGAGGGAGTGGGCATGGATTTGATCAAAACACCTTATATGTGTGTATGAAATTCTCAATAAATTATTTTTAAAAATAAAAATGATATATAAAATAGTTTAAAAGAAGTGTAGATGACAAACATTTGATATTTCAGTCCCCAGCTCCTATTTTGTAGTTTTCTTTTATTTCCTATTGGGATTGGGAAACTTCTTATGAAACCTCATTTCTTCTTTTGTCATTTTCAATGTCTTCACTGAACATGTTTCGGTTAAGGAATCTGAGCAGAAACTACTGCACCTATCAAGAACCCACCAGTGACTGTGAGAGAATTTGTTTACGCATCCTTTTGTTCTTTCCAAATTTACTTAATGTAATTGGTTCTATGAATTATCGAAACTGCCAATTAACATTTCAGTTGTTGTAACTTAGAGCAAAAATACCACTGATAGATTTACCCAGAAATTGCGTCAACCAGCCAACTAGACATCTCAGTGTTAAAAGTCTGGGAAGTTATTAACTGGGGAGGGAAAGTCCTGCTGAAATTCTCTCTGGCTCTGTTACTCTCACACACCAAGCTCAGAGAGGGCTGTTCTCGGGTCATGGGTTACGCAGGACCATTTCAACTCTGATTTGGTAATCCTTACTCATACAGTGTATTTTTTGCAAAGAGCAGTGTATTACAGAATCGAGTATAAATCTCTCAGATCACACAGAGGTCATTAAAACTGGGAAGGAAGGGGGAAATCGCCAGTGTGGTATGCTGCGTTGCGCTTAGGAATGTGCAACAGTGCCTGTTTTAAATCCTGTCTCAGGTGCTAGTCACGCAGCTGCCGGCTGCTTCTCCTATTTGGGGATTAATTGCCAAGTCTCACTGTCAGGTAAACTTGCCCACCATCCTAAATCCAACGGGAACCTCCTTTTCTCTGTGCCCGGACTCTCTGCTAGATGCTTCTCAACCTAACTCAAATCCTGCCCTCCGAGCAACACACACCCAAGGCTAGCTGGCTTCCTGCATAAGGAATCTCTCCACAGTCTCTAAATTTGGACTCGTTAATGAATTCCACTTGCCTTTAGACCTCCATAAATATCCCAAGGAGCCCATACTGTTATTATGTGTTATGTTCACTATATGCCATTAACTACTGGATCCATCAGAATGGAGCTGAATCTGATCCATTCGCACACTTAGATTTTAATATTTACAAGGATCGGGATGTATAATAAGGACCATATAGTTCAGTGAGCTAAAACATTACAATTTGTTTCTTCTAAATGGCTTCTTCATAACCATCAAAATGTATTTTTTAGACTCAAGTCATGAGCATTGCCTCCTTGGGATATTTATGATCAATCTTCCCATTAAACATGAGAATAAAATTCAAGCTTCACAGAAACCATACCAAGTAAATATATCCTGTCATTCTAGATCGAAATGTCTTGTTTTAGCAAAATTCTCGATCAAATATTTAAAAGATCAAGAGCTAGAAATACTCATATAGAGTGCCAAACATTGATATCAAAATTATGGTATGTACTCTTAAGGTACTAAAGGTCCATCAACAACAAAAAAGGAAAGGCAGCCGTCTCTCTGATCTCACCAATAACACGCTAGTATTCCATTTAGGACTGTTTTCAAATCACGAGGCTGGTATAGAAACCATCAAGAGAGATGAGGACAGAGGTTACACAATGCACAGCCTCGAGTTATGAGTCTACCCATTAAACAGCTAGACTCCTCCAGCCCACGACATAGCTCAAAGGTAGCATGCTTCAAAGCTCAAATCATGAGTCATTTCAGTGAAAGAATAAACCAAAGAAGGGCACTGTAGAGACCAGACGGCAGCCTTGTAGAATGGTTTGCAAAGGCTTTTCGTTACAAAGAATCCAAGATGTTGGGTCTAATAAAGGTAAATGTCACAAGAAACTGAAACTCAGACCCAGACAATACACACACACACATGGTTTAACCTTGCTGCATTGGGATCCTGTGACCTTAAAGAAGGATGAGGACAGGAAGCAAAATAGCAATAAACAACTGCTCTGGAGACAACCAATAACCCGCAAATGGCGTGCACATCAGGGAAACAGGACTGTCTGTTCCCGGCTCATTCTAATTCACCTGTCTCTTTACAGTGAAGATGAGCTTCAGACTAGAACACACATACGTTAGAAAAGATTCTATAGTGTTATATGAGAAATTAAACTTAGGGTATTTGCTGAGCCAGCAACCATCCTGGTTATTCTCAAACACTTTGCTTTCATCGTTTTTTGAATACTGACTTCAAAGCTCCAGAGATAGTCACAGCAATTGTTTCTAGAAATGGTACTGAATATTCTAAGTTCACTCTTTGGCTCTATGTAAGCGGTTCTACCAGGCATTAAAGATTCATTGCTGGCTACTTATATATTTCTAGACTTCCAGCTCAAAGTTCAGACATATTAATTAATAGGAAGCATCTACTCTTTATTTCTTTCTATCAAAGTTCAGACATATTAATTAATAGGAAGCATCTACTCTTTATTTATTTCTATGTGTTTTCTCTCTAAAACAAAAACAATAAATGTGAAGAATGGTAGTTAGCAACAGCTAGCAGCTCTCCTAAGAAGCGAAGCTCACGAAAAGCGCGGGGGGAGGGAGATGAAATTAACTGCCTTTCAAGCTAATTAACATTCAAGCTAATTAACATTAAGCAGTGATTCAAATCACAGGAGATATTCAAAGTCGAGAATGCTTGAGAAAATAATCATGAAACAGAATCTATCCTAGGAAGAGATGTGCCTCTACCTCATGCAAGCAGACCACGCCATGGCAAGCACCTGCATATGTGCAGTGAATGAGTGGCCTAACTGGGTGAAAGTCAAAAGGCCAATTGATTCGGGGTAAAATATCCAACACCATTAAAAACTTGTTGCCACGTTACTCTGCAGTAGGTATTCTCCTCATGTCTGTTAGAAACCACAGACCACAGCATCTCATGCCCTGAAAGCAATTTGAAGGGGTCTCGTCCCCGCTGGCTCCCAGGCACACTCATTCTGAACATATGAGCGTTACATTATTGCTCAACTGTTCTCTGTGTTCCTTGGTCTTAACTTAGCACACGTTAGGACTCAGGCTTGTCCATCCAGCTCTGACATGCAGTTCTCTGACATAATAAGCTGCAATAAGCCCAAAGCAGGAAACATAAATATCAGTGATAAGCTATGAAACAATGTCTCCAAACAGAAAAAAGGCAATTCTAGAAAGATCCATCTTACCTCAAAGCTCTTTACTTCTTCTTCACCATCATCGTCTTCTTCATCGTGACAACTCTGATTTGGGAGAAAAAAAGCAAAGGATATGGTGAGGAAGAGAATGGAAAAGAACGAGTTAGAATTAAATGATTTATCTTAATTTACCATCAATGTTGTTGAAGCAGATTCAACACATGCACAACTTATATGACATGATCAATGAATTCAGGAGCTAAAATGAATTGTGGTGTATATAAAAATGTCTTTTATGAAATTCAAGTCTCCAACACCAACTTCACATGTAGCAGAGGTAACTCTGAGGTGCATCTCTCACACGCTGTACACTAGCTGTTCATTTGCTTCATTCAAATCTAGTCACAAATCTCAAAACACGAGGATCCCCTCTCCTCTTTTGTAAGTTGCCACCATCGCACGTTGATACAGGTGCACACAGTAGCCATTACTTAAAATTAGCAGAAAGCCATATACATTTATTAGAGAGATTCTTTTACGGTTGTTTTTAATCCCATTTCACCCAAAGGAAGAAAGTAAAACTTCATCAATAAGATCATTCTCTGCGTATATCACTTATAAAACGGATTATTCCGTTCTGTTGAGTGAGGGGCATATTCTTTTTCTAAGACTTATTTTTATTTTTTTCATTTATGTATGTGTGTCTGTGTAAGTATATGCCATGTGTGTGCAGGTGTCCATGGAGGCTGGAAAGGGGCGTCAGATCCCCAAGAGCTGGAGTTACAGGCAGTTATGAGCCACCTGATGTGGGTGACATCTGATGTGGGTCCTCTGGGAAAGCAGCAAGCACTCGATGGTCCTAAAGGCAGGGATGTGCTAGGGAGAATATGAGCCCTGCACTGTGATTCTCCTCACTGTAGCTTTGTCCCCAGCCAATAACTGGCTAACCTTCTCCATCCTCCTGCCTCTGCTTCTTTGGCACATCCTGCCGTGCATGACCACAACCAGCATGATAACATTCTTTAGAGGCAATTGGGCTAGAGAGAGAGCTCAGTGTGTTAATGCTTTCTATACAAGCATGAGGACCTAAATTCAGATCCCCAAAACCACATAAATAAAAAGGCGGGTTGTGGCTGTGCAGTCCTGTTACCCTAGCACTGTAGGGAGCAGAGACAGAAGGATCACTGGAGTTTGCTGTCAGCCTAGCTCCAGACTCAGTGAGAGACTGTCTCAAAAGAATAAGGTGGAGAGTGATAGAGAAGGACATCCAACATCCTCCTCTGACCTCTGTATGCACATCTGCATTTGCACATACACTAACAGCCTACACACGCGCATACACACACACACACACACACACACACACACACACACAACCTACTGAGAACACTCAATAGTACTAATATGTACCCGTGTTTAGCGCTGACTACTTGGGGTTAGGTAACCTATTGGGGAGCTCCTTTTCTGACAAAAGCGGATTTGGCTCTCTCAGAAGCCACTGATGGCCTGCAGCTCTTCGTCTATAGGTGGAACCTTGTGTAATTTCCTCTAGCCACACTGGTGTGTCAGCTGGTGTTTGTGCAAGTCTTGTTTAGGCAAGCACATTGCGATTTCAAGGGTGCAGTGTCCCTCATGTCTGGAAGACACAAACGAGCAGCAGGTGCCTGGTCCTCCAGCTCTTACAACCTTTCTGCCTCTCCTCCGCAATGATCCCTGGGCCTTGGGTGTACGGGTTGCATTTTAGATGTATCAGGTGGGGCAGTGCATCTCCATGATCACCTGTTCTCTGCCTTTAGACCAGTTGTGGGCCTCTGTAATTGTCTGCATTTGTTAGATACAGAAGCTTCTTTGATGAGGATAAGAGCTACACTTATCTGTGGGTTTAAAGAGAAGAACATGTGGGTTCTTAAGGGGAGGATTTGTAAAAGATTTGCCACTTGGGAAAAAGTAGCTGAAGAATTGACCAGACCAGTAAATCGCAGATGCTACTATCATTGTGGTTTGGAATGTGGAATTCAACGGTGACCAAAGAAAGTTGGTCATTAACGAACAGCTTTGTAGGAAGACCTCGTTGTGCACTGATACCAGATCACGCCAGCCAAACGTTCCATGTCATTCTGTACATGTGATAAGTGCTCAGTGCATCGTGTGGTACAGTGAAGCAAATGGTGGAATATCACTCTGAAATCAGAAAACATTTTCAATCCAATGAAACACTGTTCTAGGTACAGAGATGGAGATGAAGGGAGGGTACCGAGAAATCCCTCAACATACGTACTCCAAGCTAAATTCTGGCAGGCTGGTCATGTCTCATTGTTTTTGCAAGTATGGGTGACATTTCCATTCTATTTGGAATAGCAGACACGGGAACAAGGCACACAAAGGAAACAGGAGTGTCTGCGTTAGCTCAGTGGTCAAGCTTTCCTTCCACACAGGAGGTGTGGGGTCAACTCACACCCCTGAAAAACACTTAAAAAATAAAGTAGGGGCTGGAGAGATGGCTCAGGAGTTAAGAGCACTGGGTTCGATTCCCACTACCCACACGGTGGCTAACAGCTGTCTGTAACTCCAGTTCCAGGGGATTCAATGCCCTCTTCTGAGCTCTGTGGGCACTGCACGACACGGGCACACTTATACACATGCAGGCAATACATTCATACACAAATTAAAATAAAATAAAATTGAGCGCTGCCCTGACACTGCTCACAATTGGGACTGTACTCATTTCCCACAGTGTGGCTCTTTCTCCTCCCTCTATACCATTCCCAGAATCCTCTGAGGGTCATACCGTGGCTGCACGACATTTTCAATCATTCCCTTGTCCAACCTCCCAGCACAATGTGGTTTTCTATTTCTCTATAAGCTCATACTAAAGCTTTCTCTTTTCCTTCTTCCTAAGCATCTGTGCCTCTGTCCTTCCAGACTTGATCCTAGACCTTTGTCTTTTGTCTTCCCCTCTGAGGCAAGATCAGTTACACCCATGGCTTCATCAGGAATCTAATTCTGATGAATTCATACAGTGCACTTAGAAGCCAACCTGAGGTACCAGACATCAGACATGAATGTCCAATGTACGAGATGCTTGACATCTTCTGTGAGTGACTGCTCTTGCTGTTGTGCTATCTGAAAGAACTAATGAGGGTTATTTGGGCTTGTGGGCATGGCCGTGGGGGTGTGAGGCCGCTGCCTGCATCAAGGCAACGGACAGGAAGCAAGAGGGCTTGGGCAGGAAGTCAGCCAGTGTGTGACCTTCAAAGGTCCACTCCCCAGTGACCCACATCCATCAGCCACGCTTTCTACCCCCAAGACTCCACTGCCTCACCACACAGCAACAGCCTTTGAGGACCAAGTACTGGCATCTTTCTCATGCTCAGGATTTGATTTGCAATCCTCCCTCTTCAATCAACACCCACCATTATTCTAGGGCTCCCTGGTCCGTATGTGGCACCCAAGGTTGAAACCTCAGAAGAAAATTGCTTCATATTTCATACGCCTCCCTCAATATCCTCGTTAGGAGGTACAAATAACAGCAATTTCTGTCACAACTACATGAGTTCATGTGTGTAGCTGCCCTGTTGTGTCTGGAAAACATAATTTCTGTGTGTCATCTATCACCTCTGGCTTTTGCAATCTTTCTGCCCCTCCAGGAATATGTGAGCAGCACAAATTGGACTTGGTTGGTGGGTTATTTACAAAAGAGGACATGGAGTTGGGGGATGAGAGGTGGGGTGGATCTGGAGGTTGGGGTAAATATGATAGAAAATATGTGTGAAAATCTCAATGAATTAACAACAATATATGTTTTAAATCCAGCAACATGTTGCTGTTGCTCTATTTGATTCTTCCACAGTCAAGAACTTCCCAAGGAAATGACACCATTGTGCTGCACAAGCTAGTCAGTCCCTCTAATATTTATTTATCTGTTTTTAAAGATTTATTCTAGTTTTTCTTTATGTGAATGTGTGTGAGTGTGTGTATGTCATGCATGTGAAGGTACCCACTGAGGCCAGAAGAGAGCATTGGGTAACCTGGAGCTGGACTTACATACAGATAATTGTGAGTCACCGGATATGGGTGCTGGGAGCCACCCCCAGACCTCGGCAAGAGCCACAAGTGCCCTCAACGATGAAGCCATCTCTTTAGACCTTAATTACCAGTTTTAATACAATCATTTGTTTCAATTTTTTAAAAATGATTTATTTTTATGTGTATGTGTGTGTCTATGTGGGTGTGTGTGTGTGTGTGTGTGTGTGCTTAAGTCAGAAGAGGGTGTCAGATCCTATGGAGCTGGAGTTACAGGTGGTTGTGAACTGCCTAGTGGACGTGGGTGCTGGGACTCAAAGTTGGGTCCTCTGGAAGAGTAACAAGCCCTCGTAACTGCTGAGCCGTCTCTCTAGCCCCATGTTTCAATTCTGTTGTCCCCACCAGATGTTGAATTCTACAGCTGCATTATGAATGTTTTATTTCCTTATTTTTCATGTTATCTCTTGTACCTTGACACCTAATGAATATAAGTTGAATGAAAGAATGCTTGGCAGACTGGTGAGTTCCCTAGACACAAAGTGCTAGCATAGGAAATAATGATTACTTGTCCAGACACTTGGAGCAGAGATTCCTGAAAGAAATGCAAAGATGTGATTCACTCACCTCTTATCCTTTGCCAAATAAAAACAATTCACCTTCAGTAAACATTAAAATCGGGAGAGATTCGTATTTACCTTTGCCATAATATCTGCATAAGCCATGTATAGAAAATCTTCCTCCAGTTTACTATAGAAAACAAAGGGAAATCAAATTTTAAATAGAAGGTAAGCCATGTGTATAGCCTCCATTGGTAGCAAATTCTGCTCACTGTTTTACAATACCTATGCCTTTTTACAATAAAATAAACACAAATGTAGGCAATAATAATCATCCAAAAGCATTTTATATTCAGAAAGCAAAGATCTTAGACACCTGGAGCAGCTGTCCTTCCCTACCTTACAGCAGAGACCCTCAAGTGTCAGAACAGAAATGGTCTATTTATTTACATGCAAAAATATAATAACCAATTTTCTTCAAAGAACAAAATGTGAAAAAAGCAAATGTAAGTGACAGAGTTTTTGACAACAGAGATGGTATTTGACATTGAT